CGCGGTGCAGGGAGCTCAGGCATTCTTCCTCCCAAAGCCTGTCTCGTCTGCGTCAGCGTGAGCTGCACTGCCTGGTGCCTCATCTGTAAAGCGCACGCGTTGTTTCTGGGCCAGAAAGATGATATGTTCTGAAGCAACAAACCTTGAGAATAGACATGGGATTCCTTAAGCTGTTCAAATAAAAAATGAAACATGAAAAAATGAATAAAGATAAACAAGGATACAATATTTATCTGAAGCACATAGTTACCTGCCACCTAATTCTAAGTCCACTTACTTGCCTAGATATGTGACATCCTACAGGATTCGCATTTAAAATGCAGATGCATGTTTTGAAATGGACCACAGCTGAGCAGGTCTGCTTCCAGGAATGCAGATCCATTCGCCCTGGACCAACCCATGCTGACCACACAGATGACAGAAGCTTTATCTCCTCAGAAACTCTAGGCATCACTTCATAAAGGCTATGTAGTATTATGTGCCAAATATACTAGTATCTTATAATAATACTGTTGAAAAATAATCTGGAAGTTTCAAATATTACCAGATTAAATACATAGCTCAGATTTATAAATATAGTATTCATATTTAATAATAAATTATTTTTAAATATTTCACTCAAAATGTTAGATTTTTAAAATAAAATGCCATTTTGTTTTGTCCTATGTAGTATTTTCATGGCTGGTGTGGACAAGTTATTCAACTCTGAGTTTAGGAAGGACATAAGTTGGTGGACCCCGGGATTTAAAGGGCATACAAATTATATGACAAAATCGAAATGTTTATATTATCTAAACATGAAAATTAAAAAGTAGCAAATCAGGATACACTAATAGTTAAAGTAAAAATATATTGGCATTGCCCTAACCGGTTTGGCTCAGTGGATAGAGTGTCGGCCTGCAGACTCAAGGGTCCCAGGTGCGATTCCGGTCAAGGGCATGTACCTGGGTTGCAGGCACATACCCAGTGGATGGTGTGTAGGAGGCAGCTGATCAATGTTTCTCTCTCATCGATGTTTCTAACTCTCTATCCCTCTCCCTTCCTCTCTGTAAAAAAATCAATAAAATATATTTTAAAATATATATATTGGCATGGATTTCAGAGTAATTTACTTGTTTTTAACACAAAAATGGAGCTGAGGGACTTCTAGTTTCTAGTCAGGCAAGTAAGGAGCTTAGAAGTCCTCAGTTGGATCTGAAACAATAAAACCTGAAGGAACAGAAAATGGACAACTCTTCTCAGATCCATGAGAGAAGTGAGGTCACAGGACACACTGCTGCCCCCGCACCTGGAGCCACAGACAGACAGACACAGAGGATCCCAGTGCAGCCACATACACAGTTTATAGTCAGTGGCCTCGGCTTCCGTCGGCCCCTCTTCACAATGAACAACATTGCCATGCAGCCTGTAGCTCTCCCTGTGTAACTCACGTCGTTTTTGTAAGAATATAAAACCTGTGTAAAAATGTTGAAGTTCTATGACAAATGCCCTATTCCTCCGGATATTGGCTCATGTTTTACATTTGAATTTGATGCCTTGAATGAATTGCCCCTTTTTACATTTGGCAATTTGTACATTTTACATAAAAATGTATTTTTATTTTACATAAAAATCTGTATATTTCTGCCCAGCCAGCATGGCTCAGTGGTTGAACGCTGATCTATTGATCAGGAGGTCACAGTTCAATTCCAGGTCAGGGCACATGTCCAGGCTGTGGGCTCCATCCCCAGTAGGGTGCGTGCAGGAGACAGCCGATCCATGATTCTCTCTCATCATTGATGTTTCTCTCTCTCTCCCTCTCCCTTTCTCTCTGAAATCAATAAAAATGTACACAAAATATCTATATATTTCTGTCTGGGAAGCCCCATGCGTCTGGCACCAGGCAGGGCCTCCCCCAAGGGTCTCGGAGCCCTGCAGGCAGGCTGTGCACCCTCTGCTCCACGCAAGACCCCGTCACTCCCCTGCGCTTCCCAGCCCTTGGCCCAGTGTCCCCTGTCACTCAGCACTTTACAGTCTCCTGCTTCCCTAATTTAAATGGCCTGCCTTGATGTCCGTAGACATTTGCGGATTTAAACTCCTGTTCTCTGAAACAGTACATTGAGGTTGACGGCAATCATAGAACAGTTGTTCAGGGCACAGAGACAAGGATTGAGGAAGACAGTTATAGACAATGAAGAGGAGGTTTGTTTCGGGATGACAGTAACCGACCTTCCTCCCCATTTGTTTCCAAGGCCAGCATGTCCCGGGTGAGGCAGGTGGGGCTGCTGGCCGCCGGGTGTCAGCCCTGGAACAAGGACGTGTGCGCTGCCAGCGGGGACAGGTTTGCCTACTGCGCCACCCTGGCCATCTACGTCTACCAGGTAAATAATCCCGCCTCTCCCCGACTTTTCCTTTTATCTATCAGGTGCGATGACCATTTAAGCAATAACTGTCTTCCCCATCGTTCAGTTCTCACGTTATCATGCACTCTGGCATTCAGCAGATACTCACTAAATGTTTCCTAAATGATTTTTTTTTATCTTGAAACACCAACTCATTTCAGTTAAACGTGAAAAAAAAATGTTGCTTTATTCTGAAGTAAAATTCCTTTTAATTGCTAATAGTGTTGTCGTCTATTGAAAATGTTGGAAATAATAGTGTTACTCTAGACACGAGTGAGTTTCCCACAGTAGCGAGTAAGGTTTTGTAGAGTTCATTTCTGGAGTGTGTGGCAGTATCAGCATGCCACTGGAGGCCCAGGCCGATCGGCTCAGCTGGTTGGAGCTTCGTCTGAAACACCAGGGTTCAGGGTTCAGTCCCCAGTCAGGGCACATACATGAATCAACCAGTGAATGCATGAATAAGGGGAACGAGTCAGTAAAAAATGCAGTTCCCATAGAACTCACGATTCTCCACTTCCATCCCCCATACGGAAGACGGCAGCAAGCTCAATGTGTACAGATGTCAGGTCAGCATATTGTATACCAGAAGCGAATATAATGTCAAATGTGCGTTATATATCAATTTTAAAGGTGAAAGAAAGTCATAGGACAGTTTCTGGGAAGGGGCATGAAGTTATTTTGATACCTTGGTCAGAAAACAGGTCTCTGAAGAGGTGTTTTGAACTGGGACTTGGACAGGGGAAGGAACACCTGTGGACAAATGGGGGGAGGGCGTCATTGGCCCAGGGGACTGCAGGCACAGGCCCTCCAGCAGGAATGGTTTGGCCATAGTGGAGAAACGAGGTCAGAGTGGACTAGGAAGAAAATGAAGCCAGATGATACTGGCCAATAGCAGAGGCTCCCGAGGGAGGGTGTTCAGGGTCATGTTAGCAGTCAGGATTTACTGTGACTGCATGGTTAAACAGAGATTGCGATAATAAGTCACTAACATAACAATGACTAGTAAAACCCTGAATAACAATGTGAAAGGTTCATTGCATATCAAAGGACGAAACAATAAAATGACATAATTTAATCCCAAATATGTTAACAATGATAAAAAGATCAATTGGCTCACTAATGACTGGCACATTTACGAAGGAAATGGGAAAATGAGGCAATTCCTTTTGCCCACTTACATATAAGAACACAGTATAATGCCCCTCCAGAAAGCAAGGATATACGATAGGGTCATTGCTTGGCAGACTTTTGACATCTTAATGAGAGTTGGTTTATTTAACACAAATGTTTTTATTCAAATATAAGTGAAACATTGCAGTAAAAATATTTTGAGATGAAGAGTGTTTTCCTCATAGATTTAGCTATAAAAATATGACAAAAATTCAATTATGTGTATTTAAATGTACATCATTTATTTTTACTTGTTTTTAAAATCGATATGTTTCATTTTAATTCTCTCATATTTTTTCAAAATAGTTTCTGTCAGCTGATCAAATATACCTGACAGTAGACCAAGGCTTGAAATGTGTTCATATTTTGTTATTAGAGGTATGCTAATGTTCATCGAGGTAGCTTGTGGAAATGTGATTAATGGAAAGTGTACGATCTAAAAAGAAGCACTGAAATGTTTTATTTATGTATTTTTTTTAGTTGGATCACCGTTATAATGAATTTAAACTCCACGCAATTATGTCTGAACACAAAAAAACTATCACAGCTATCTCTTGGTGTCCACATAACCCCGATCTCTTTGCAAGTGGCAGTTCCGATAACTTAGTGATCATTTGGAATGTGGCAGAACAAAAAGTCATTGCTAAACTCAACAATACAAAAGGTATCTTTGGAACGGGGATGTGTTTTATGGAATGAAACATTTGTATTTCGATGAACAGAATATTTTATTTCAGTTAGCTCAGGTTTTCAAGTAGCCCAGCTCTCTCCTGGTAACCTGCCCAAGAAATACAGTGCACGTCCTGGCTCATGATTGTGTGTGTGCGTGTGTGCCAAACGGAAACAGAATTCCATGAAAAATTACACTCAGTACACCGAACAATCAGGAACAGTAAATACCAAATCGTTTTGGTAGTATTTAAATAAAACACAAACATTTTCAAAACTCAGGCTGTGGCAAAAGTAGTTTACAGTTGTTTGTACCTAAAATAATACAATAATCTACACTAATAAAAGAGAAACATGGTAATTGGCGTACGACCGCTACCCTTCCCATTGGCTAATCAGCATATCCTTATGCAAATTAACTGTCAGCCAAGATAGCGGCCGGCAGCCATGCACTGAAGCGAACAGGGAGGCTTGCTTCCTCCAGGAACTGCAGACTCCAACGTTCCCCGCCTCACTTGCCGGCCTCTCAACTGCAACTCTAAGCAACTATTACTATGTTGCAAATAAGAAGCTAAACAAAACCGGCTTTCAGTCAGCCCCGGACCGCAACATTGTATCCATGTTTTCAGCAGCGAGGCCTCAGAGCTAAAGCTGGCCCAGAATAAAAAAAAAAGAAAAGAAAACAAGGAGCAGTTGGGAGCTTTTAGTCAACTGCCAGCGGGAAAACAGCCCTCAGCCCCTCAGCCAGCCTGGCCAGGCACCCCAGTGGGGACCCCCACCCTGATCCAGGACACCCTTCAGGGCAAACCAGCCAGCCCCTACCCGTGCACCAGGCCTCTATTTTATATAGTAAAAGGGTAATATGCCTCCTGGCACCGGGATCAGTGGAGCAGCGAGGCTCCCGGCACCGGGATCAGCGTGACAGGGGGCAGCGCCCAAACCCCCTGATCAGCCCTGCTCTGTGCCTGATAGGGGGAGAGCTCCCCAATCCCCCGATTGCCCTGCGGCTCTGTGAGTGACAGGGGGCAGCGCCCCAACCCCCTGATTGGCCCTGCTCTGTGCGTGACAGGGGGTGGCGCCGCAACCTCCCCATTGACCCTGCCTTGAGTGTGACAGGGGGCGGTGCCCCAACCCCCCAATCAGTCTACCCTGAGCGTGACTGAGGGTGGCATTGCAACCTCCCGATCCGCCCTGCTCTGTGCATGACGGGGCGGTGCCCCAACTCCCCAATTGGCCCTGCTCTGAGCCTGACCAAGGGCTGCACTTAGGGATTGGGCCTGCCCTCTGCCACCCGGGAGCAGGCCTAAGCCAGCAGGTCGTTATCTCCCGAGGGGTCCCAGACTGCGAGAGGGCACAGGCCGGGCTGGGGGACCCCCACCCCGAGTGCACAAATTTTTGTGCACCGGGCCTCTAGTCTATATAATAAAAGCCTAAGCGACCGTTATGGCGGAATGGCCAGTCGCTATGATGTGCACTGACCACCAGGGGGCAGACACTCAACACAGGAGCTGCCCTCTGGTGATCAGTGCGCTCAAACAGGGGGAGCGCCATTCAGCCAGAAGCCGGGCTGATGGCTGGCAAGCGCAGCAGCAGTGGTGGGAGCCTCTCCCACCTCCATGGCAGCGCTAAGGAACAGCGAGCCGAAGCAGGAAGGTGCGAGGGGTCCTGGACTGCAGGAGGATGCAGGCCAGGCTTAGGGAAACTGCGCCGCGCCACCCCCCCCCCCGCACAAATTTCGTGCACCAGGCCTCTAGTTAAATGAATAATAATAAACTCTGTTTCATATACTCACAATGTTAACCTATTTTTGCCTCACCCTGTAAATATAAAAATAACAATTAGATAAGATTTTCTTAATGGGACAATTGGCCTTGCCTATTCATTGCTCTATTCCAATCTGAAACCCAGGAGGACAATATGCACGCATCTTTAGTGCCCTATTGAATGGGTTTCTTTCCTCCAGATCAAGGTGGAAAGCCTGGTTCACACCAGTGGGTCTTAGTGAAGCGAATAGTATCACTACGCTGCTCCTCCTCCTAGAATCAGACCCTGCAATCATGGTGAAGTTAGTCATCCTGTTTCTGCATTAAATATCACAATATGCAACCTCTTTCTGAGCACCAAGTGTAGCTCAGTCAGTGATTATGAATTTGGAAGCTACTGCTGGGTACATTTTCCACATTTAGCTTCTTCCCTAAAAAATTCTGATGATAACTGTGAGGGAGAACATGGAGAAGTGACAATGCCGCTGACTTTATTTTGTTTAAAGATTCTTTATCATATTCTTCTCAGTGTGTAGTGACAACGTTGAGAATCCATAGGCCATGATATTTCAGTCTTGCTTCCAAAACAATAATAATGCATGTTGGAGGGAGTCTTTGGATATGTTCAACGTATTTTGTTTATTGCTTTTTCCTTGTCTTTCAAATTTAGGTCATTAGGAATGTTGAAAATACTGGTAAAATATACCAATTTTGTTATTTAAATCTCATCTTAAAAATACTTGCCAAACAAGGTTCATTTTTCAACTAGAAAAATGTAAGTCTTATTTCCAGTTTCATACACCCTACTTACTATTTTTACTTGCCACAACCAGTGAACTTCAGTATTAGTAATTTGCTGTAATCTGTGAGCAGATATTTTTAAATATTCAGTGAGCTTCCATTAATGCAAGTAAAACTTTTCCTTAAGGCTTTCCATACATCAGTAAGAGAAGCCAGATTACTTTTGGGACAAGCTTTGTGATGTATAAAAGCCATGGAGCCAAAAAATAAATAAATAAATAAAATAATAAAATAAAAAAATAAAAGCCATGAGCCTGCCGGTGACTCAGTTGGCAGAGTCTCCCATGCACCAAAAGGAAGTGGCTGGGTTCCAGGTCGGGGCACAAACTTCAGTTGGGGGTTCAATCCCTGTCAGGGTGCCCAGGGAGCAACCAGCTGATGGTCCTCTTTCTCTGTCCATTCCTCTCTGAAAATCAATAAAAACATATGCTTGGGTGAGGATTTTAAAAAATGATAAAAGCCATCGATAGCCTCCATCAAGATTTTTCATGTTTTTCTAGTCCTATGTGTTTCTCCAACAACCACAAACCCTATAAATTTTCCAGTGTTGTTTATATTAACAAACCGTGCATTTCCCCAATACTTTAAACCTAGCTTTGTGTGAAATTTATTTTAAGTAGCACAATAAATACTCCTTAAAATTCTGTCTGTGTTTTATGTGACATAAACTAAAAATATCACACAGTGTCATTGTTCTCATGAAGTTGTCACACAAAGTCTACATGAGATCATGCTATCTACATGTTAAGCTAAAGTACAGCTGAGACCGTGTGTTGTTGTAGTACCACCCAGTCTATCCCCTGCTCTGTCATCAGACAACGGCTGCATCACCCCCATTCCTGGAGGGAGAGGTGTTTCATTCACCAGCTGTGTGGACCATGGCTTCCTTTGCCACTGAATCCACACAAAAAACTTTGCATTCATGTTGGCAGAATGGTTAAATAATTTTGGTAACAATTTAAATCAAGTGTGCATACCTTTTCCTCCGAAGTTTTCAAAGACTTATCAATAAGTTCCTCATGCTGTTTCCAAATACCTCCTTAATGTGAAGATGGAAAACTTTGATATTTTATTTTCAAAGAGTTATTGTGAATATTTTTGGTCACTTTCATTTTAAATAGTCCCCTTGAAATGGCTCAGACTTTATTTTTCTTCCTTTCCAGAATCCAGGGTAAGCAAAGTAGAAGTTTGCATGTCAGTTTTTCAGTCAATATTAGAACTTCCCCATCCAGCAGTTGAACTTGAACCTGCAACTGTAGTTTTTACTTCATCATTACTTTTCCCCAATAATCAAAAAATTAATTTAAAGGAAATGTATTTGTTTAATTTTAAAATGTTAAAATTGTCACCCACTTGAAAAATGTCACAATATGCTGTCAGAAAAGAAGGCCTTTAATGGTGGATAATTATGTGTCCTACTTATCTCAGAATCTCGTTGGGAGAATCAAGTGAGTGAGTGTTGGTAGGGCTCTTAGAAGCACTTGCATACAGCAGGCCACTGTGGTAGGGGTCTCTGTTGTAAGGCTATGACATTGGTTCTTGCCCCCTTTCTTCCTTGCTGCCCTTCTGGAAATAGCCGTTCAGAGAGCCAGAATTATCATGGTTTCTCAGGTGTTCTGTGGTGGTTTGGTCACACAGTGTGTCTCATCCCTTATTGGGGAAATTCTACGTCTGTTAATGTACCTTAAAACCACATCGTCTTTTTAATTGACCTCATTTATATATTCATGTATTCATTCATTTAATACAACTGGTGGAGTTCCCCTTGTATGTCAGGCCCTGAACTAGGCATAAGATTCCAGTGTCTGCCTCCTGGCTCATTATAGGCACGAATTGATTTTACGGTCAGTAAACAACTTTGGACTCTGTCTTTGTTTATATCATTTTCTCTTCCTGGGAAATAGCGTTCATCTCATATATTTAAACTCTATGGCTCCTTCAAGGTATAATCTAAATCCCATTTCCTTTGGGAACAGTAGCTCAGTGGTTCACAAACCCTGTTAAAATCGATTCCCAGGCCCTCATTCCGCATCATCCGCTGCCCATCTTCAGTTGGGCGATTCTGATGCAATTGATCAGTGTACCTGCTGGAAGTGTCCCCATCCCTGTCTTGAGTCATGAATTCACCGTAGCCCTTATTTCATTTAGGACCTATTTGATTGCGATGACAGTGGGGAGAGTTACAATGAACTGTCCTATTTTGTCTTACAGTTTAAGGGGGCTTTTACATTCATTGTTGTATTTTCTTTTCTCGATGTTCATGTGAAGTAAGTGGTCAGATGGTTGTAGTTGTGGCCAGTGTGCGGATGAGGAGACAGAGGTTCTGACGGGAAGTGACTTGTTTAGGTCACCTGAGGGAAGGCTATAAGGTTTGATTCTAAGCTCCTGATAAGACAGAGATTGTAGCATTAAGTTCATTGTTATTAAATCCTTGACAGTAACATCTAACTTTTCATACATTTCATCCTTATCTTCCCAATTTTTACTTAAGATCCTTTAAAGCAGGAATTGTAACCCATACTAACTTGTATAGGGAACGCCTAGAGCAGGTCTCACACACAAGAACTCGGTCAAAATTAATTGCTCTAATAAGCAAACAGTGTCCTAAAAGAAAGAACTCTATACCCTTCTTTACATAGGAAGCGTGTAATCATGTTAGTAGTTTAAACCGAACTAGGTACTGTTCCTTTCACTGACGAAGTACCCTGTGTACGTTCCCAGGGGTCTCAGGGATTAGTTTAAAATCCAGTTCCCAAGTCAGAAGGTCATGTGTTTGTAAGTAATGAACACGCTCTTCTACGTGTTGTAGAGCTCACAAAGCAGATGCCGCTGGATGGCAGTTCTCACCGGAACTCTGTGCTGTGACCACTTCTCCTCTGTTCCAGGGACGCCCGCCTCCCTTAGCTGGTGCTGGCACGCGGGCGAGGCCGTGGCCTTTGCTCCCCGCAGGGGCCCGCTGCTCATCTGGACCATCTCGGGGCCGGACAGCGGCGTGACCGTGCACCGAGACGCTCACAGCTTCATGTCCGACATCTGCACCTTCAGGTGGCACCCCCAGAAGAAGGGCAAAGTCGTGTTTGGTCACATGGATGGGAGTCTATCGATTTTCCAATCAGGTGAGGATGTTCTTAGAGCTCCTCCATTTTCTTTTCCTTGGCTTGTGTGACATCTTATTCACACGGCAGAAAACCAAAGGTAACAGAATTTTGATTTTTAAGTAATAGCTGTGCAAGTATTATCCAGCATCTTACTGATTCCAAATAATCATTGGAAGCTAATTTACATCTCAGGCCTTGTCGTGCCTTCAACCCAGCCATGCAGATTTTACTCTGATGAGCCCCGAATCAGGCATGCGTCCCATAGTTTGACTTTTTAAGTCAATTCTTTGTTTCTGCACATTTACTAAGAGAGCGGCCTGAGGGGGTAAGGACATGGAACTGGAATCCTTGATGACTTACCTCTCAAAAATACTCTCCCACCTGCATGTAAAATGCCATTCAGACGCCCCAGACCCTCAGCCGGGTTTTGGTCCTGGGGTGGAAAGGAAAACAACTCTGTAGACCCCATTAGTTCATCACTCCGGCTGAAGGAAAGGGTCTGAAAATTTTGTTTATTTTTAAAATTTAAACGATAAAATGTCTATTGAAAACTTCCCTGAATGGCTCCCCGCTCATCACAGAGTCCTGCTGGCACCTGAGCAGCGTGCTGTCAGCACCCGGCGTCTCTGTGGCTGGGGGCTCCTGTTTTCAGACCAAGTCACATGCTCAACAGCGTCACAGATACTCCACATCCTCTGAAGGGACACAGTTCTACCACTGAGAACCCAATATGGACTTCTTGCTCTCATTGATGCCCCAGGGCTTTTAAGAAGTCACGCACGCACCATTAGGGAAGGTGTCATCTGGCCATGCCTTTTCCCTTTTGTGTAGACAAGAGCAAATGGGTCTAGAAGAAAATGCTGCTTTTTGATTCAGACAAGACACTCTGCTGTGAGTTTGAAACGTTGGCGCTGTGGCGTTATACTGCAGCACACAGCTTCTTACTTTTCCCCGAGGAGTGGCCACCCTCACCTTGTTACTGACTTCCCGCCCCATAGGGATCTAGTCTCTACCTAACAAGATAGAATTTCCGTCCTCCAGGCTCCTGCAGGTGACTGCTGTCCAGTTTATCTATCTTGGAAGAAGAAGAAGAAAAGGGAAATATTCATGGAGGACTGCCCACAACGAGGCAGTTCACCCATTATTTTAAATCCGTGATTTCAAAATTGGGGTTATGAGTATGTTTGTATATCTGTGTGTGTGTTGGGTGGAGGGGAGAAGGGATCCAGGAGACTCAGTCAGACGAAAAGCACCACTTTGTTCTGTATTATCTGTATTTTCATGTAAAAATCCTCATATGCATAGAGGGTTCCAGGGCCAAAAGTGGTGGGAAACCACTGCTTTACCTATTTCCAGTTATATTCTTGGACAAAGCCAGCTCACCAGAGAATGTTCTTATCTTCATCACGGAGCTGTTTTAATTGACTTGACTCTGTTGTTACCCCTAGGAGGGCATTAATCAAGTTTGCATTGTTTCACCTTAGACGTGTTGTTGGTGACCTTGTCCTCGTGCAACACCGTGTCCCCGTTTGGAAGCGCTCAGGGGAGCGGCATTTATCTCTGGTGTCAGTTCTAGGAAACATTGTGCTTCTCGTCAGGACATTTTTTTGTTTGTCATTTTGTTTTATTTTTATCCTATTGTGCCACCTTTCATGATTGCTTTCCTCTTGGCTTTAGCCACCAGATCTCAAAATCAAAATTTCAGCAGCTCTTTGGATTATGCATCATCCTCATTATTTTATTTTTCAACCATAATTTTCCCTTGCCCCAGTTTTCGTCTCTCATACAGAAATTGTCAACCTCATCTTCCCAATTTATCGCATGCGTCTGTCCTCACCTGACAACACAAGGGGCCTGATATTTGTATAAAAAAATAGAACACAAGTAATAGCAAAATAAATAATGTAAACTAGAATATTATCAGCGGTTATTCTAATGATTGGCTTTCCATTTATAGATTCATTTTTCTATCTTTCATAATAAAAATGTTGATACCTGATAGAACAGAAAATAGTGACTATAACTCATCATTTTGACTAAGATGGGGCTTTGCAGCAACAGGATTTAGATATTATAACATTTTCATTGTAAATTTTATCATTTTTTTGTTGCTATTATTTTTTTTTATATCCTGGAATATTTTTAATGAGTCATAGATGTTAAGTGGCACATGCAAATACCTAAAAATTAGTAAAGTACAACCTAGGTCAGGGGTGGGCAACCCCTGGCACGCGTGACAAACATGGCACGCCAGTAACTTTTGCTGGCATGCGAAACCCTCTCTTATAATCTTCCATTTACAATTTTTTTCTTAATATCGACTTTTTTATTTTTCAGATAAATTCAGTGTAGGTGCATCTTAGATAAATAAATAATTTTACAAAACAAGTTATCTTAAAGACCATAGACATGGATTGACGAGAGAGGGGAAGAGCAATTTCTATGCCTTTGCCTTAACTCTCCCTGCCTTCCTAGATCCGACAAGTGTTTTGGTTTCATCCACATACGCTTGTGAATCTTTGTTCTCAGTGATGAATTTTGTTAAGTCTCGTAATAGGAGTAGCCTGACGGATGAAAGTAGTAGCTCGTGCTTATCTCTGAAGGTCACGAAATATAAACCTGATGTAAAATCTCTCATCAGTGATGCAGCAGCAAAAGTCCCACTGATAATATCAAACGGAGTCATAAAGTTTTCTGTCGGACTATCAGTGTACATGTATACATTAAAAAGTAAATGTAGTTTTCATCATCATATACTGTGTTTTTGTCGCTCGAATGAATTTCATTATTTCTTCAAGGTTCTTCACAGACGTACACCTTAAGAGATATCAAGTAGGCGTAACATGTTCTCAAAAAATTAGGGTTGGCACGCAGAAGAATTTTGAGTCAGAGATTCTGCTGGTTTTGGCACGCACTCACAAAAAGGTTGCCCACCCCTGACCTAGGTTAATAAATCATTTTTCTGCCTCTTTTGGCCTTGTAATGACCCACCTTATTAATATTCATTATTGTTACATAAAATAGAAATTTAGATGATGTTTGTTTGGGGAAAGAAGAAGCAAACAAACTTTCCTTGATGGTCATTGTGAAAATTTGACAAATCCAAATAAAAGAAAACTGTCGTGCACTTTCTATGACTATATATGCACAAATTCTGACTAAAACAATACCTGTTTAAGATCCACATTGTATTTATATAATATCATATTCTGATGAAGTTAATGTCAAGGCAGAAGCTGTGAGGTGTTTTTTTTAAAATATATATTTTTATTGATTTTTTACAGAGAGGAAGGGTGAGGGATAGAGAGTTAGAAACATAGATGAGAGAGAAACATCGATCAGCTGCCTCCTGCACACCTCTTACTGGGGATGTGCCTGCAACCAAGGTACATGCCCTTGACCGGAATCGAACCTGGGACCTTTCAATCCACAGGCCGACGCTCTATCCACTGAGCCAAACTGGTCAGGGCCAGCTGTAAGGTTTTCAGTTCATTTCATAATACCTGACAGACCCACGGGAATCGCTTTTCTCTGCTTTGATAACCTGAAAGGTGGGAGAACCGTATGCGCTGATGGACAGAGCTATGGTATCTTCCAGTTGTGTTATTTTTTAAATTAAAAAAAAATTATTTTAACGTGTAGAGCCCGCAGGGACAACTGGGCTGTCGCCTCTCAGTGTAGTCATGTCACTGCCGTGCTTGGAGAGTGAGAGCGTCTGTGGAGTGGAGTCCCCTGGGGTGCGTTGCCGAAGCGTAGTCCCCCCATTGCCAGTTGTGTGTGTAATTTGGAAGGAAGAGGGGATTATTTGATGGGCCTTGGCTTCATTTATTTTGTTTTCTTTGTGGGGTTTTATTGTTGTTGTTGTGTCCTGAATCCTCACCCAAGGATATATTTCCATTGACTTTTAGAGAGTGGAAGGAAGGGGAGAGTCAGAGAGAGAAACATCAATGTGAGAGAGACACATCGATTAGTTGCCTCCCACACAAGCCGAGACCTGGGCCAGGGATGGAGCCTGCAACCAAGGCACGTGCCCTTTGACCAGAATCGAACCTGGGACCCTTCAGTCTGAGGGCCAGCACTCTATCCACTGAGCCAGACCGGCGAGGGCGGGCCTTGGCTTCATTTACTTCCCCGTGTTTTGTCCCCCGTGTTTCTGGCTGCCTTGGTTGTACTGGAGTCAGGAGTGAATGATGGTTATGACAGATGGTCTGATGCATGACAAGGAGTAAATAGTGATGTGCTGCTCATGATATTGCCACTGTTCTAAGCACTTTCAGCAACTAATTCATTTAATCTTAAAAAGCAACCAAAAAACTCTACAAGGTAGGAATCGTTATGTTCACTATACAGACAAACAGTAAGCACAGGGAGAGGAGGTGTCTTGTCCAAGAACTCGAAGCCCGTACGTGGTGGAACTAAGTCAGGCTGGACCCAAAGTCTGTGCTGTTAATCACAACAGGATGTTCTTCCTCCTGGTAAGCCCTTTCCTATCTGTGTGCTTTGTCACTCAGTGAGATGGTGGTTGATGACAGTATCGTGTGTATGCATGTCTTTCTCTCACCGTTTTTCAGTAACAAATAGGGCAGACTTCCCAGGTACTAGAGGTCACCAACGCAGAGCAGTCCAGGCTGACCTCCGTCTCTGGGACAAGCTCTGTTCCCCGCCGTCACACGTCCTGGGTGACTTCTCGGAGAAAGCCAGCACCCTCCCGGTTACTGACCTTTTTCTGAGAATGTCGTTTGAAATCATTTTCTTCGCATTTTAACAGGTAACAAAAGTCAGAGACATGTTCTGAGGCCCGACTCCCTGGAAGGGACCGACGAAGAGGACCCAGTCACGGCCCTGGAGTGGGACCCGCTGTCCACGGATTACCTCCTGGTGGCCAATCTGCATCATGGGATCCGGCTGGTGGACTCGGAGTCGCTCTACTGCATCACCAGCTTCAGCTTGCCCAGCGCAGCCGCCTGCGTGCAGTGCGTGGCCTGGGTCCCCAGCGCCCCGGGCATGTTCATCACTGGAGGTGAGGACCCCCACCCTCCACATTTAAAATGCGTGTGTGTTCTTTAATTCGGTCAGGAAATGATACTCCTTCGTTGGTTACTTCTGTGTAAGACCTATTAATGCTGCAAATGTTATCATTTATTATACTAAATGCCTGGTTTACTTTTATTTGTACTGTATGTCATTAACATAATGACAAATACAAATGAAATTAAGACCCTGTTATCCAGGTTTCTGGTAATAAATTGGGATATGTATGTGCACACGTGTGCATGTTCATGTTTGTGTGTGTAAAAATACAAACAGTTCATTTTCAGGAATGGCAGGACGAGAGTTAAGGGATGGACTCGAACAGCGGGTTATCTGGACAGGAGGCCTACGAGCCTCCCTAGGGATTGTGATCGGAGTGAGCCCTATGCCTAGGCAGCCCCAGAATCTATCACATGGCTTCCTAATCAAGAGAGTGAGCAAAGTCAAGGAGTGATGGGGATGGGAAGAGGGGGAATTTAAAATACTCATTAGAAATTAACTAGTATTGCTATTTACTCTTTACTTAGGTTCAGAAAGTATGGTCCCTGAAGTGATAGTGCTATCAGCTGCTGTGTAAATCCTGTTATTGGCTTAGTGCAAAATAAAAGAGAGTCTTTATCCTCTCGACATTTTTAAAGAAATTATTTGCACATTATTCACAATAGCCAAGATCTGGAAACAGCCCAAGTGCCCATGGGTAGCTGAGTGGGTGAGAATGGAATACTACTCAGCCGTCAAGAGGAAGGAAATCTTACCCTGGATGGACCTGGAGAGGACTATGCTGGGTGAACTAAGCCGGTCAGAGGAAGACAAGTACCATGTGATTTCACGTATATGTGGAATCTAATGAACAAAATAGGAACAGACTCAGAGATAAAGAGAACAGACTGACAGCTGCCAGAGGGGAGGGGGCTTGGGGGCCTGGGTGAAATAGGTGAGGGGACTGAGCAGGTCACATGGGTGGTTGCAGAATAGCCACAGAGATGCAGAGATGCGATTGCAACATGGGAGCCAGGTGGGTGGTTGGGCAGCGGGGACCACTCAGTAGAGTACCTGTCTTTCCAGCTGTGGTTTAAAAAAAGACATTCTTTACTACTTTAAGCACTTCGGTTACACATGGAAGTAGACAGATCCTTATATATCTTAATTGCCTTTAATTTCATAGGGTATGTTAATGATAAACATGGGAATTTTTTATATAGCTAATACTATTATTATTGAGATAAAGCTCACATACCATAAAAGTCACCATTTTAAAGTATACAGTTTAGTGGTTTCTATGCTCAGAAAGTTGTACAACCTTTACTGCTATCTAATTCCAGAACATTCCATCATCCCCTCAGTTAATTCCCTCTGTACCACTAGCAGTCACTCTCCGCTACCCCCTGTCCACCACCCCTCGTGTACACGTGTGTGAACATAAACTGCTAATCTGCTTCCAGTCTCTAGGGATTCTGACGTTTCATAGAAATGAAATAACTCAACATGTGGCTTCTTTGACATAGCATAGGCAGGGGTCCTCAAACTACGGCCCGAGGGCCACATGCGGCCCGCCGAAAACATTTATCCGGCCCGCCGGGTGTTTTTGCCGCCGCTGCCTATCCTGCTTAGCAGCCGACTCGTCCTGGGCCCACAGTGCACATGTGTGGAATGTCTGAGGGACAGTGAACTAGCCCCCGTTTAAAAAGTTTGAGGACCTCTGGAGAGGGTTGAAGCTTCATCCGTGTTGTTGGGTGTGTAACTCATTCCTTTTTAAGGGTGAATGACATCCCAGGGCATGGGTATGCCAGGTTTTGTGTATCAGCTGACAGACACTTAGCTTTTTTCTACATTTTTTGCTGTTATGGATAGCACTGCTATGAGCATTGGTGTGCAGGCTTTTGTATGGGCACGTTTCTAATTCTGTGGGTACGTTCATTGGATACAATTGCTGGGTCACATGTTGGCTCCATGTTGAATGGTTTGAGGACCTGCCAGATTGTTTTCCAAAGTAGCTGATGAAGGTAGAATTCTGGGGGCTTTCTAGCCGGGTTTCGGGTCTATTGGGCAGCCTTGTCTGGCTGCAGTCTAGCAAGGGAGCCGCTTATGAATGTGTCGGACGAGGGAGGATTGTGTAACGGTGGGTGGGAAGTTGTCAGTGGCTGCCTTTCCTGGACCGCATGGGTCAGTAGGGTGCTTTTTGTGATCAGATTGTCACAATGACCTCTGTGGGTAGAGGTGCCATAGAAGGTAGTTTCTCACCCCAGAGAAGGGTCCAGAACAGAAAAAAATAGTAAACATGTCAAAAGTGTAAAGGTTGAATAGCACGTTAGCTGTCTCTTTCACTGTGTTATTGTACAGTCTTATTATTGAAGAAGCCATTGGCAGTGCTAAAAACCTTGCAAGTTGAAGATTTTGTTATTACTCTTACATCTGGGCATTTCATATCTCAAGTAAACGTGTTAACATGATGCTTTTTCCTGACTAGATTCTCAAGTAGGCGTTTTACGCATTTGGAATGTTTCAAGAACAACGCCGATTGACAATTTCAAACTCAAGAAAACGGGGTTTCACTGCTTACATGTACTTAATTCTCCACCAAGAAAAAAATGTGAGTAAAAGCATCATCAGAGTTTCATACCTTAGAATAGTGTATGTGCTGCTTCCAAATGAAATGACTGATGTAGTGGTATAGGCGTATCAGATATGTGCCTCTGAAAAGCACATGTAAAAATCAGCCTTTGGCAAAGTCTGTGCTAAAGGAACCACGTAAGCCACACAAGCTAAGCTTTTCTGTCAGGCCTTACTGCTTCTAAATCCTGGAAACGGGAGTGCTGGAGGTGCTGAGACTGGAGAAGTAACATTCTGGAGGCCGATACAGGGTATATCCTGCAATTTTTTTTGGGGGGGAGGGGGTGGGTATTTGTTTCTTTGTTTAGTTCAGGGGTGGGGAACCTTTTTTCCGCCAAGGGCCATGTGGATATTTATAACATCATTCGCAGGCCATACAAAGTTATCAACTTAAAAGTTAGCCTGCCATATTTGGTCAAATGTTTAATTAACTCCCCCCTAATGTCTTGGCAGGGGCCAGACCACATGATTTCTCGGCCCTTATGTGACCAGCGGGCCCCGTGTTCCCCACCCCTGGTTTAGTTGCTATGATGTGCATATCATAGGATGACTGACACATCACCGATTCTCTTCTTTCGCATTGGTTTTCATATTACAAAAGCGGTCCATGTTCATTAGAGGAAAGTCATAAAATATGAAGGAGCACATACCAGTCTTGTCGTTTGTGAGTAATTCCTTTTAGGGAATCTATTGCTAGATGTCTAGTCTTTTACCCCACTTTTAAAAATGTAACAAAGTGTGGAATAAGAAAAATTATGTGAATAATGAAGATTTTAAAATACAGACATACCAAATTCTAAAAAAAGGATGATTTACAGATAGATAAGTACATAGAGCAGCGGTTCTCAACCTGTGGGTCGTGACCCCTTTGGGGGTCGAATGACCCTTTCACAGGGGTTGCCTAAGACCATCAGAAAATACATATATAATTACATATTGTTTTTGTGATTAATCACTATGCTTTAATTATGTTCAATTTGTAACAATGAAAATACATCCTGCATATCAGATATTTACATGACGATTCATAACAGTAGCAAAATTACAGTTATGAAGTAGCAACGAAAATAATTTTATGGTTGGGGGTCACCACAACATGAGGAACTGTATTAAAGGGTTGCGGCATTAGGAAGGTTGAGAACCACTGGCATAGAGGGTATCAAAACCCCCCATAATGTCAGTAAATTAAAATATTAGAACAATGAGTCATGGATCATATGAATTTTAACCAAATGGTGAATAAGGTTTCATGGAATCAGATGCCTCTTTTGTTATGAGAAGTTCATTCTAGCATGGACTTCCTGTCATTCCCAGATTCCGAGAAATAGTGTTATCCAAATGAATGCAATAAGGAAGATGATTATATTTGAATAAAAAAGGGAGCATACTAAAAAAAGAGAATATCTGAATTTATTTATCTACATTCCAGTATGTAATTAGTATAGATTGGTCTGATAATTTACAGTGGCACCATTATTTTGGGTTATGTTTACAAAAGAATATTCATGTTCTAAAACAAAACTTCTTGAAAAGAAGACACAGTATGAGATAAAGACTAGGCAGAAAATAATTAAACATGGGGACACTTAAGCAATTGAAAGTTGGAAAAATGGAAGCATATGAACAATAAAAGTAAACATGAGGAGGAAGAGAGAAAAAACTGAGGTGAAAATGTACAGCCAGCATGGCTCAGTGGTTGAGCATTGACCTAGGAACCAAGAGGTCACAATTCAATTCCAGGTCAGGGAACTTGCCTGAGTTGCAGGCTCGATCCCCGGTAGAGGGTGTGCAGGAGGCAGCCGATGTATGATATTTCTCTTTCACTGATGTTTCTGTCTCTCTGTCCCTCTCCCTTCCTCTCTAAAAGTTAATAAAAGCATATTAAAAAATAAGTTGTAAAAAAAATGTATGTCAGACAATTATGGTTCTTAATTTGGGTGCTAAATTAAAGTGAATTATATAATCACAAAGATAATTATTTTCATTAGAATAGCAATTACTAGAGAGTTATGAGCTTTAAAAGAAAAAATTCACGTGTGTGTGTGTGTGTGTGTGTGTGTAAGGGGGAGTAAGCTGATATATCAAGACTTTGAAAGAAGGTTCTAATTAAAAAATAAGCATTCTCTGCTTTAATATATGGGGAGATAATACACCAGATATTCACAGCATTAGTGATTCCTCACACACTAATTTTATTTTTTTTCTTTATTGATTAAGGTGTTACATATGTGTCCTTATTGCCCCATTGCCCCCCGCCCCCACTCATGCCCTCACCCCCCTGGTGTCTGTGTCCATTGGTTAGGCCTATATGCATGCATACAAGTCCTTTGCTTGATCTCTCCCCCTACCCCCACCCTCCCCTACCTTCCCTCTGAGGTTTGAGCATCATATCGATGCTTCTCTGTCTCTGGATCTGTTTTGGTTCATCAGTTTATGTTGTTCATTATATTCCACAAATGAGTGAGATCATGTGATATTTATCTTTCTCTGACTGACTTATTTCTGACTGACTTTTGGCAAAACTGCAAGTACTGCTGAGGCAGAAACGTGGTTGTTGCCTACAGCTCACGGACCCCAGTTCTGCTGAGAGGAAACCCGGGAGCCTCTATAAACCCAGCCTCATGGCGTCATCTGCACACGGGAAGCTGCTACCATAAACGTTTACCTGCTGATCTTCTTCTTTTTCAGTTTCAATCCAGCCTCCAACCCCAAATCACCACATGTCCTCTACGAGCGAGGCGGTGCCCCCGCCGGCGCTGCCCCCGGGCCAGGCGTTCTCCCTGCCCCCCGGGCACGCCCTCTGCTGCTTCCTGGACGGGGGCGTGGGCCTGTATGACCTGGGAGCCAAGAAGTGGGATTTTCTGAGGGACATGGTATGTCTGTGATCGTCCCTTCTTTCACACACGGCACTTCTTTTGTGAAGCTCATGATGTTTACTTTCACTCACATATTAATATTGTTAACATTTATTTTTGTAAAAAATCAGCCTGGCTGGTGTGGCTCAGTGGTTGAGCAGTGTCGACCCATGTACCAAGAGGTCACAGGTTCGATTCCCTGTCAGGGCACATACCCAGGTTTCTGGCTCCATCCCCAGTAGGGGGCATGCAAGAGACAGCCTATCAGTGATTCTCTCTCATCCATAATGTTTCTGTCTCTATCCCTCTCCCTTCCTCTCTGTCTAGAAATATATATTTTTTGAAAACGAGTCATATCATTAGGACTTTACCCGGGGTGGCTGAAACATTTCAGAATGATGTCTAGAATGGTGACAAAACTATTAAGATTCTTTAAGCTTTAAACATGAAACTCCAGTGAACATTATGGTCTCACTTATCCTGATTGCCCTGCATGGCTGGTAGTGTTCCAATACTGTGTGGACCATGCCAGCCCTTCGTACAGTGCTGGAAACTGCATTGCTGTGCCATGTTCTGGAAGCAAAGAGAGAAATAGCACAAGCCTTTCTTAGGAGGAAGGACAAGTCCATCTCTGCCAGCTACTCCAAGCTTTGGTGTTCTCATCTGTAAGTGAGCAAGGCGGTTGGGTTAAGTATTTTTAAGATTTATTTTCCATTATTGAATCATTATAATTCTATGATTCTATCATCTGTTTTTTAAAAAAAATGCTTTTATTGATTTTACAGAGAGAGGAAGGGAGGAGAGAGAGAAGGATCGACGATTGGCTGCCTCCTGAGCACAGCCCAGGCATGTGTCCTGACTGGAAATTGAGCCGGCGACCTTTCGCTGCATGGGACGATGCTCAACCAACTGAGCAACACCGGACAGGGCCCTTCTGTTCTCAGGACCACTAAGCCTCTGTATACAATAGAGCACAACCTCACTGAGGACTCGCGTTTTTGTTGGGTTTTAATCTATGCTTTAGCTCTACTACCAGAACCAGGGCCTGGCACATAGCAAGACTTCATTAAATTTTGCTGAATGAATGAATACATGCATAATGAGTGAGTGAGTGAATATAATCATGTATATTGTGTTGTAATTACTATTTGTCAAGAATCATCTTCCCTAATTTTTCCTTGTTTATAAAATGCCCATTTTTTCCCCTACAGGTTTGAATTATACTAATCCAGACATTTAAGACTTTTAAATGTTAATTGCTTTTCTCTGGAAAAACTTAGAAAGGACTCTACAGCTATTTTGCCCTTCTTAAAAAAAAAAAGAGGGAAATAATCAATAATACTGTTATTTGAAGGCTAATTTAATTTTATCCTCAAATAAAAATATGGAACATTAGCAAAAATATTTTTTAACAATATGTAGCTTAGTTATATGAAAACATTCCTTTTGTAGACATTCTTCAGTTTATTGAATTTTCTTTCCATATAAATGCTTCCCCAGTGTGGGAAATTTTTTCCCCATTTCAAATTACCACCTACTTTTATTTTTTTTAAATATATTTTATTGATTTTTTACAGAGAAGAAGGGAGAGGGATAGAGAGTTAGAAACATTGATGAGAGAGATCGATCAGCTGCCTCCTGCACGCCCCCCACTGGGAATGTGCCCGCAACCAAGGTACATGCCCTTGACCGGAATCGAACCTGGGACCCTTGAGTCCGCAGGCTGACGCTCTATCCACTGAGCCAAACCGGTTCGGCATACCACCTACTTTTAAAAGATTATGAAAGGGAGGGAGGAAAATATAACAGTGTTTTAAAATTCATATTAGTAAGGAAGTTACACAATCTAAGTTCAAACGACTTTCTATTGAGTGTATATCCTCATATTAAAATATGTTTTATTTAAAAAAAACTATGTTAAATTTATAATTCAGTCAAAACTAAAACATTCCTTGATTATAAATTATTTCAGTGGCTCTTCTCACTTTAAAAGTGTCTGCCAGTCAGAAAAGACTTGAGTTTTTTCCCCATAAAGTCCCATTGCTAACGCAGACCCCGATCTGGGAAGGCTGGGCAGTTACCAGCACAAGCATCCGACGTGATGTTGCAACTGCCCAGCATCTCCAAGCTTCCAAGGCACATGGCATCAGAAAACCCCCCTGTTCAGATACTTGCTAACAGGCGTCCTTCCACGCGAATGTCGACTTGATTAAAATGAAGAAAAACGCTTCCCTTTCTTCCTTTCACCCCTGCATTCCTCCCGATAAGACAAGAAACATTCACCACGTAGCTCTTGCTATATGATTTCTCAAATGAGTTCTGAAAGCATAGCCGTGAATTAACATTGAAGAATGCACCTGCAGGCAGTCCCAGCCCCTGCCCCTGCCCAGCCCCTGGGGCTGCACCAGCAGCTGCACCCGCCTCCCCTCCCTCTCGCTGGCTCTGGAGATTGTCCCCTCCCCTCCCTTGTGGCCCTGGTGCGGTTTCCTGAGGGCCCTGCTCCCTGGTATCACGGGAGGCACCTGAGTGTGAAGCCTCCCTCTGTACCTGTAGGGCAGGCCTGGGGGAGAGCTCGCCCGCCCTGTCCCTGTGTTAATTCTCCCCAGCCCCGCATGCTGCAGTGTCTGCTGCTTGGAGTAGGAGGGGAGGGTCAGTTCCCATCCCCAGGGCTGGGAGACACACATGGCAACTGGCTGCTTACCTGAGATTCTTCCCAGGTTCGCCCACAGGCACCCAGTAATTAGCCTCCACTTAGCAGGTACATGTTTGCACACATCTGTCCATCCCACCGCACAGCCTGCGGGGTGTCGGGGACCCATGTCACCATGTCATGGGAACAGGATTGTGAGTTCCAAAGAGTAAACTTGCTAGAAAACGTTGGAACAGTTTAAAAACTTGATGAAAAGCCAAGACCAAGCCAGATGTGTCTTCTTTCAGTTAAAACCGTGAAGTCCTTTTGGACTATGTCATTGGTACGAAGAAAGTGATATTTGCACTAAAGGCTGCTTTCCGTTTTCTCTTGTCTTTTATTATGTTCCCAGAATTACATAGTAACTGTTAAGAGTTCACTGCTTTATGAATTTCTAGCATCGTCCTCTGTGTACGATGAGTATTAAGAAAAGCTATGCATTGGGTCGCAGTTGAAATCGGACTTTTGGAAATCTTTGACTTAGTTGCTGCCGTAGGGAACGGAGGCTGAATGAATCTAGGTCTGTGAGGCGTGTACGGTCACAGCACAGGGACCCCCCACAGCAGCAGCACGCGGGTCCTGTGTCTTTGCTCGCCGTTGCATATTTGCACTCGTATTTGGAAACCCTGGTACCGGGTTGAACTTGACTGCACATTGGTTTGCTTATTAATCACCTGGGTTGTCTCAGTGGCTGAATTTTCTCAGTGACTTGTGTGCCTCATCCTAGGGACACGTGGAAACCATCTTCGACTGCAAATTCAAGCCCAACAACCCCAACCTCTTAGCGACAGCGTCCTTCGATGGCACCGTGAAGGTCTGGGACGTGGACACGCTGACCGCGGTGTACACGTCCCCGGGGAACGAGGGGGTGATTTATTCCCTCTCCTGGGCGCCAGGTAAGAAGCATGTCATTAAAATCGGGAGGACAGCTCAATGGCCTTCCTGACTTTTATTTTCATGTGAATTCCCTTCTTCCCCTCGATGTCGTCTCCTTCCAAAGGCTGGTGGAGGCGCAGTAGGAAGAACGAATTTGTTGGGTGAGTTTGGGGGAGGTTTTCAGAATAGACTTCCTGCTGGACACTTGGGTTTCTGGGCCCTTTGGTATCACGTGACCATAGAGAAAAGCCGAGGTAAATCAGGTTCATTGTGACCCATCTAATTTTAGCTGCATTTGTATAGACATGCATTTAACGATATAACGCATTTTACGTGACCATTTTCCTTAAAAGTTTTATACGAATCAAATATATGAAAGTGTTGAAAATGTGCTTTCTAAAATTACAAAATTTGCTTTCTAAATCACAGTACAGGTTTTTCCCTGATGCGGCTGTTTTGTAAATATGAATGGTTATGCATCAGCACAGTTCACTTGTGACCGTGTGATTAATTCTGTGGGTTTTCACATAATTTTTTTTTAAAGAACTACTTAGCAAATCTCAAGTCTTTTTCCAAGATTACATCTTCGGGAAGGACATTTCTGGCAAGCATTTCAGGTAATGTCTATCAAATTGTTCCCCAAGGTGATTTGGATTGCATTGCCGGAGCAACTTCCCAAAATGGCGCCTTCATTTGGGATATTAAAAAGGGCAAAGTGATCCAGCGCTTTAACGAGGTAAGGTGTTATTTCCTGGTGGCTGGGCAACCTGGTGTCTTATGCTGCTCCAGACTTTCCCAATGCTGTTGTCTCTTAACTTAATAGACAATCCCCAGGTGGCAGTGTGTTCTCTGAATTAGAAGGGCACCCAGGGGGATGTTTACATGTTCAAATGAATTCTGAAAAATAACTCCACCTCAAGTGGCATGAGGTCTTCGGAGGAATCTGAGTCATCCTCCCCAGATTATCTGGGCATATATTCAGTAGTCGGAAGAGACGAAACCCAGAACAATTCCCATGTCACCGTCCCAGGCCTCTCGCTGGTTAGCTGTTGACGTAGGGAGAAGCCTTTATTGCCTGAACCTCTGAGACAGGGAAGTCGGTTATATAGTGTCTTAGCTTCCCTTTCAGTCCTCAAATCCTTTTATTCCACGACAAGCCCTAAAACCAATCCTCTTCCTATTTGTAGTGTCACAGATGGTGCTTGTACTTCTGCTTGGAGTCAGTTGTCACCCAGAGGTGACCGAGTCCCACTAATATTTAGAAAATATACATGATCTCATGACAGCGTGTTAGATACGAATCAAGGGAAATACCACAGAATCTAGGATTGTCTCTTGCTATTTTGAAATTTCGTTCATTTCAAGTGATTACTGTTAATGCCTATTAAGTATATAACGTCTATAAAATCGTGTCTATATTTGAGGCTTTAAAACCATGTATACTAAAGACTTATCCCTTTGAGGATCAAGTAGCCTTCATCTCAGGAGGTTGGCCAGTGTTTGGAAACTTCCAACGCCAGGGGGCAGTGTTGCCCTCCGCAGAGGAAACTCCCTACCCCCCTCCCACCCCCACATCTCAGGACTGAACTCACCTCCTGCCCTTTCTCTTGTATTAGTCTCATCTTGTCTATTACTGGATACCCTATCTGCTGCCTCCCATCCCGAGC